ATAGTATTATGTTCTTGACTGATATACACAGCACCTCTGTTCTAAAACCTTAATTGTTTAAAATTGTTTATTTTTTCCTCTCAAGTGACCATTCTCCCATTGATGTATGGCGTCTACTACAGTGGAGAGATTTTTAAAATTCAAATAAGGTTGTTAGATTCAAACCTTCTATAATTCTGGAGGCCTATGAGGATTCTGGGTGAATCCTACAATTATGTACCCCTAATGGGGTGAATGATAAATTATTATTAAAATCTAAAAACTTACAAACAGAACAACAAAACTGAAATTCTGCTATTTGGCCCAATATGACATCTCCATTCACATTGATGGAGTCCTATAGGCCTTCACTAATTGTTTGGAATCTGGGAGTTCTGTTCTAAACCACATATCAGACTACTTGTTAAATCTAGTTTGTATTCGCATATGTCCCTCACTTAACCATAAAGATAATGAACCTGTTATCCATGCTTTTCATTTGTTAATCTTTGTTAACGTTAGTTAATAAAAATACAGCTGGTCATTGTTTGTTCATGTTAGTTCACAAAGCATTTACTAATGTTAACATAACTTTTGATTGTAATAAAATATTAGTAAATGTTGAAATTAACATCAACTAATTAATAAATGCTGTAGAAGTATTATTGTTCATTCTTAGTTCATGTGAGCTAAAGTAGTTAATAAATGAAACCTTATTGTAAATTGTTACCAATATCATTATTAGCTCTATATTGGCAAATAAGCCAATTGCATGGTTTTATCGGCTAAAAACAGAAAAATTAGCCTTAGTCATGCACTGTAGCTGTCAACTATGACCAGAATTGAAAATTCATAATCAGCAGATAAACTATTATGTCCCTTTTAAAATCCAGAGTGATTATTACTGAGAAAATGTGTGATAAGAACGATAAGGCAAATGTAAGGTTAGTGATGCATGATGTGTTTCAAAGGTGTGGTCATGGAAACATTTTTCTTAGAGAGCAAAGAGATTTCGGTAAGAAATGCTTTATTTAACATTTTTAACAAAAGAAAAAAATCAACACTAAAAACAAGTTCTATAGCCGGTCTGGATTAAAATGCTTTTATGGTGATTTTCCTGACTTTAGAACACATACAAAGAAGTACATACAAGTGGTAACTGTGATACTACATACGAATATACCATCAAGAACCACAATCTTTCTCTCACTCCCTATTAGCCAAACACACTGCATCGCTGTCCTGAGTCACCAGTCGCCTCAAAGAACATGAAGTCCTGTGGGACAACACAGAGAAACAATCAAATGAAATGTATGAATGGCCGTATAAAGACAGTAATGGGTATATATTAGTGGATGAATGGATGTTTTATGTCATATCTCACTATAAGGAAGCATGCTCCCAGCAGAACTGCTTTCATCCTCACGTCCAAGTCCATGGGAAAGTTAATGCCAAAATTGTCTGTATCAGTCAGTGACTCTTTGATCAGGCCAGTCCACTGTTTACTGATACGACCAACTGGATGCCCGTCCTTCCCGGTAACCTGCACCAGAGGACAGACAAACGCACATAACCTTTGGTCAAACTATTTAAAAAAATCTTGCGAAATCCAAAAAATAATCATCCACCAGATACTGTTCATTTCAGTGTTTCACAAACAAACAGACACACATAGAAAGGTGATAAACTGACAAAATCACACATGAATACATACGTCGAAATCCACATCCCCACAGCAGCTTATGGCACACATAGGCCCCTCGATGGACAGCACCTTTGTTTTGGACATGTCATAGATGGAGAACATGGGCCTAAACACATGCCAGTCTTGCTTGACGTAGCCTATTGTATTCCCTGGTGGAGACTGCACTTCCATCTTCAGTCAGTAACATCCACACAGGAAAAATAATTGGAAAAGGGGTTATATAAATATAGTACATTTTGCAAAGACAACATTTTGTTGAACAAATCTGTTTTGTTGTGATGTTTTTTTTTTTTGATCTCCAAATGTCAGAAAAACTCTACACAGAACTTCAGTTCTTACCTCTTGAAGACAGCAGGGGAAACAGCAGGACGTGCAGCGGTAAGGCCTTATTAAGTGAATCACTTCCTGATCAAAATTATCTGTTATCTGCAGATCAAAGCTCCTCAGAGGACCACAGATATTCCGTGTGCAGCAGTCAGTGTTTTCTTTAGCGTGGAAGATCTTTTGACCCAGGCTGTTCTTAATCTCATACTGATTATTAGTCTCAAAGCCAATAATGGCTGGAAAAGAAGAGAATTTGTTCATTAGCGTTTTGAATTTATGTGCATTTTGACATTTATTTAGTGACAACAGTGTCCAAAAATAAATATAGTATTATAATACATTCAAAAGTTTGGGGTCGGTAAGATTTGTTATGTTATTGAAAGAAGTCTTATGCCCCACATCTGCGTTAAGGTAAAAATGTATTATATATATATATATATACAGTATATATATATATATAGTGTACACTACTGTTCAAAGGTTTGGGATCTGTTTAACAATGAATCCTCAAAAAAAAATTTTTTACAGCTGTTTAAACAAATAATATTAAGCACAAACATTTTCAACATTGATTATGTGACACTGAAGACTGGAGTGATGGGTGCAGATAATTATATTTTAAGATATATTCAAATAGAAAAGTAATTTTAAATTGCAATAATATTTCACAATATTACTGTTTTTACTGTATTTTTGATCCAATAAATGCAGCTGTGGTGAGACTTATTTCAAAAACATACAAATCTTAAACTTTTGAATGGTAGTGTAGAATAGTATATATATTATAATGTCATAAAATAATAAATTAGTTACTTTACCTTCAAGGAGCTCAATCTTTTGATGGACTAATATCTGGTCAATCTGTAAGAGCAGGACACGGAGCATATGTTGTGTGTGTGTTTTTATATATATATACACACTGAACAAAATTCTAAACGCAACACTTTTGTTTTTGCCAAGACTTGTGTTATGTTGCGGGTCAATTTGACCCGTTTCGATTTTCAAGTTGTTGGAAATACTGGTTTACCTTTGTTTTTTTCTTGATATTTTGTGACTTTTTCTCATTTATCATGATGAACATGCATGCAAAGTTTCAACATGCTGATGTGTTTTGACATATACAAACACAATTACTGTTACGTTCGTGATGTTCGCGGGTCAATTTGACCCTCATAGACAGCCATTCAAAAGCAACTGTACAGACACAAAATAAAAACATTTATTTTCTGTCTCTCAGGGCACTTCAACTCCAGTTCTAACGTGCAAGTGCATCTAAAAGTGATCTAACCCTAACCAAACACACTTGAAAAAGCTAAAATCACAGTGTTTAGAATTATTTGCAAATTACAGATGAAAATCTTTGTCAGACACAGAGTAAAATAAGCTTTCATTTCAATATTCAAAATATCTAAAATACCTAGCTTTTAACCAAAACTTTTATGTAGGACTTTCAAAGGCAGCTTCACAGAGCCAAAAAATAAATAAAAAACATTTATTTGATGTATGTTTTTGTTATGTTTGGTTTCTCACTTCCCAGTGAGTGAATAATGAAACTAGGAAAATAGGTCTTTGGAAACTAGGGAAAGTTAACTTAGGAAAATGAAACATTTTCATTATACAGCTATTTTTTTTTGTTCAGTTACGATGTTCAAAGCATAAAATGTAAAAAAAAATATATATATATATATATATATATATATATATATATATATATATATATATATGCAAAAAAATCAGTATACTGTTTATTTTTCAATTTTGTCAAAACAAAACTGTTTTAAAAAATGTTTTAAAAACATTTTCATAAATCGTATTTTCAGATATAATGTTTTTGTAATGTTTGACAAATGTTAATATTAAAAGTTTACAGTTTGTATCTAAATATTTGTTGTTTTTCATAGTGTGATTTTTGAGGAATTGTATTGAATCCAATTAGGGTCAATTTGACCCGGTCCATAAGGGGAGTACACAGAAATCGAACAGAACACAAGGGTTAAGACTTTTTCTATGTACACAAAAGGCCTTTTTCTCTCAAATATTGTTCACAAATCTGTGTTAGATCTTTGAGTTCAGCTCATGAAAAATGGGGGCAAAAACAAAAGTGTTGCGTTTATAATTTTGTTCAGTGTATATACACACACACACACACATTCCATTGTACATTTCCCAGTCACAAAATACCTATTATTGTGTATATCTTCACATATTATATTACTCGCTGAAACTATTGAATACTACAACACGTTATGGTCTTACTGTCTTATTTCCAAATGTCATGCTCACCTGTGAAAGGTACTCCAAACCAGGTGGCACAGCGGCTGGGCTAGAATAAGGCTGGGCCATGTTAAACTCAGTAAATGGCAAGAAGGGTTCTAATAAAAGGTAAAAAATGTATGATTCCATACACCTCACAAACAAAACAAACCATTGTACTAAACCGGCGTAAAATAACAGAAAATTTGGTTTATTTGCTTCTAATCTTATAGCGGAACAATATTCAAATGTTTAAGGCAAAATCAACACGCTCCTTGCCAAATAGCTTTTGATAGGTTTTTAAGATACAGCAAGCACGATGATCCTCTAGGAAAGCATTCAAGGCCATTTCTATTTAATTACTTCAAAACACATAACATGTTGCTTCAAAGTAAAATCCTGCTGCCAATAACGTTAATTTTTTTAAGGATTTTCCTCTCTAAAAAAACCCCCTGCAATCTTTGAACTTGAGGAAAATTAAACTTACACAAGTAAAATTACATAGTAAAACCAAATCCAAATCTCATATTGTATGTTCTTACCTCACGTTCAGTAGCTGACAGTTACAGCAGATGAGCGGTGTAAAATCACACACCTGCACTGGAGCATGTGACTGGGGAGTGTGTATCTGTGAATATGTCTTGTCACACCCATTTGACTACACTCCCTTTGGACATTGCTCACTGAGAGAAAGAGAGCAGTGACAACAACAAACAAAAGAGTGCAAATCAACATCAACTTGACTGTAAAAGAACATTTATTTTCAGAATTTACTGCTGTATATGGTCAGAAAAATATAGCATTTCCTCATATTTCAAACATATACACCTGTACATACATATACTATATACACTGGGATGAGCAGGACACAAACAAAACAACAAATGGTTTCATTCTTAAAATAAAAAAACGGAACAATTCTACCATGATTTTTTGATGAAAGTTGGAAATGGTGCCTAAATTCTTGAACTGCAACTTAATACCCAACTAACAAAAACCAAGAAATTTGGTTTACAACGGTCAAAGGTTAATCTGAGAACTTCCTGCAACAGCTCAAGTGAGGATATTCGTCACAAGACTGAAAACCTTTTCCTAGAACATCACTTAAAAAATATAATTACATTGATTTGAACAGTGTTTGAGTCATACAGATCTGTGTTGGAGGTATCCCTTATTTTACGCTCCTAATTGCACCCATCAGATCTTTCCTAGAGTGCTCCTTGACCCAAATAAGGTGTTTGTTTTATTTTGCAACAAATGTGCAGAGGGACCCCCAGTGGCAAGACTGAAAAACACTGGATTCATTTAGTACACCACTTCCCTGGAAGTAGCATTGCAGTTAAATGTCATGAAAACAATGCAAAAAATATATATATATCTTAATGGTCCTTTACGCAAAATTAAATTTCTTTCTTGACTTGTAGCGAGATATTACCCGGACATGCTCTTGTGATGTAAACAATCATCACTGAAAAAAATGTATATATATATATTTTGGTTTTAAACTAACTAGTTTACTTTGAAATACCAGAGGGCCAAAAGAGATGTTCATTCATTTATCCACATAATATATGGTCATAGTGCACATTTTCCAGCCATATTAATTTTAGTTTATTTGTGTACAATCAAAATACAGTAGTGCAAATAAGTGCATGAGATTTAGGAAGCCTTCTTAAACCTGAAAGCCACTTAATATAAACCAAGACCAATCTGTCAACACAGAAGAAAGGATAACAAATGGAGTTATATAAATCAAATCTTTTAATTTAACAGAAACTAATTAATAGTAATCAGAAAAGTAAAAAGGACCGGAATGAGAACATCTCGTCCATTTAAATACACACATCTGCACCCATACACTCCTTCTCATAGGTCTCTTTTGACCGTGGAACCCCGAGAGTCCCTGCATCTGTAGCAGTAGAAAATGTCAGGTACGTTGGACTTCTTAATCTTAGCGCAGGAGAGATGAACCCATATGGAGCACTCGTCACATTCAATCATTGGACGTCCGGCAAAAGGCTTCCCGCAATAACAAGTAATCAGATCCCATGAATCATCACCTACAGTGGATAGAACAATATAAATGGTTGAAAGATTGATACATGATCAGATGCGGCAATAAAAAAATACAAAAGCAAACATGTTTTCTTCAAGGATGAATATACTCGATAAGCACGCAAATGAGTTTAAAAGGCAACACATCTATAACATGAATGTGTTGTTATAGCTGAATATATATATATAGATGTGTGTGTGAGTGTATGTATATACAACTGCACTTGTATGCATATCCAATGCCAACCTTTTAATTGCACTGCATTAAATGCAATATTAACATACCAAGTCTGACACTTACCAGACTCCACCATAATATCCTCATCGGTCACCAGTGTGTCTGTTTCGCAAGAGCTCAGGTCTGTTTCTTGATTGGACTCCAGTTTAAGCCCCGCCTCATGCAAGTGAATGGCCTGTTCCGTTAGTCCCTCCTCCTTTTGAAGCCCCTCATTTAGAGGGCTTGTGGGTGTAAAGTGACTCTCAGTCTTTACCGATCTCTTCATTTTCTTCAGTGCTGCTTTTGATTGTTTGTGTGCTCTTGCCTCCGAGATGCTTTTTCTCGGCCCTCCTAAAGATAAGCGTCCGAGTTTTTTCACCTTCTTCCTCTCAGCTTTACTATGAAGATGGATCTGGTTCAGAGAGTCTTTCAGTCTCATCTGGTCTAAGGAGCTGTCCGACTGAAGATGGCTGAACTCTGTGCTGCTGCTGTCAGTCTCAGCTTTGTAGACCAAGTTGTGAATGCCGTTGAGGTCGGAGTGAGCGTCGGTCCAGCTATCCTTTACGGACCCTTCACCGGAGAGCTCAGAAAGCTCGTGTGTACATGGAGATGAAGACGGAGACCACGAACTCTCCTGGAAACGGAAAATCAGCAGAATTTAACAAAAATGTAGTACCCTCATAATCTGCATAGGATTTTGCATTGCATGGTGGAATGTAAGCTTATAAACAGTCATAACTTAATATTTTTTAAATGACCCTAAGTGAAAAAATGCTGACATTACTATATTTTCCTGTTTTAACTCTTTCCTCATCATTGATGAAAATTGCCGTAAATGACATTGACAATGCTTCCGCGCCACTGATGGAAATGTTCAGCTTTCCGTGATTTAACTGTTATACGGTAGGTTAAATTTAGCCGTTTTTTCACATATAACATTTATCAACTCACAGATCAGTTGTGGTAAATGGAAGCTCAAGCATGTTCACGTGATGTGCAGGAACCAATGAGGTTTGTTCTTGCGCTTCAAGCAGGTTCGGTTGAGCTTTTTTCATGTTCTCGGATCAATGTTTATATGTGAATAAAAGCCTAAATTAAATCTGTTCATCATATAAAGCGATCGAGTATCTTCAGAAAATTTGGATTAAACCGTTTAATTCATATGGATTAGTTTTACGATCTCTTTATGAACTTTTTGAAGCGTCAAAGTGGTAGTTGCGTAGCTCTCAACGAAGGGACAGAAAGCTCTAAGATTTTATCAAAAATATCTTAATTTGTGTTCCCAAGATGAATGAAAGTCTTACGGGTTTGAACCAACATGAGGGTGAGTAATTAATGACAGAATTTTCCTTTACGTATTTTAAGAAACAATTGTGTCAGCAGCAGGTGATTACCACGAAGACGGTCAGAGTTACCCCTTGATTTCTGTACAAAATTACTTGTTTTATGACATTCAACTCACTTCTGTTTGAGGTGGAATGTACCCAGCATAGGCCAGGACAAAGCTGCAAAACTTATTGAAATCCTCAACGGTCCTTTTCCTACGCTCTGGAGGCTGGAACAAAGACAAATTACATTAATAGTGACCAATAATAATGATTAATAGTACATTTAGACATATATATAATGTTATGACACCAGTCTGACACCAATCTCAAATATTTTTTAAAAACCAATATATGTATTCCAATTAGGTTCAGTGATTAAAAACAGATACTGATCTTATCCACAGCCCATCCCCCCATGTTCGGCCACATGTGGCCTAAGCTATAAATAAGTAACGAGCCTGTGTCACCATTTAAAACCATTACAGAACATAACTGCGACAGCACTTACCAAAGCCTCAGTTTTACATTTCCGCACGGTGTCTGTAAAAGAAACAGAAGACATCTGCATTACTGGCAAAACAATGTTAACGTTAAACGCTGAAATTAACGTTACAGCGTTAAACGAACTGTCAAGTTAGCTTTAGCTTATGCTATCTAGCCACTGTTAAACTAAAGTAACTTAAGAGTCATTTTCGTACGTGATTATTGGAATGCTACAGGTGTAAGCAAAATATATCGATTTCAAAACGTTAAAGATTATTGCAAATGTTTGTAACGTTAACTCATTTGCTCGAGTAAGCATCTTCACATCCGAACAAGAGCTGCTTATGCTAAAAGCTAAAGACGAGCAGAAGAAACATTGTCTAGTCAGCGAAACAAGGAAGCCAATTGGTGTCAGAACTTTTCAAATATGCTTAGAAAATTACATGTTACGTATCTGGAGATAGTATAGAGGTGCCGTTACGTGTAACGTAAGTTACTTAACCTAAGAGGATATATCACTGTTAGCATGAGTAGTTAATCCATCCAGGAGCTCTTTGTTAAATGGGTGTGTTACACGAGGCTCGTTTAAAACATCGAGTACTGGAGTAATAGACTACAATAAAACGAGAAAAGTAATATTCATATGACAATAAGAAAAGCACGTATTTACCTTGGTGATGATCCATAATTCCCAACATGGTGGGGTGGTACCACAAAGTTGTGTTCTTCTTAAGGTTGGCTCTTTGATTTCCAGCTAATTACCTTATGGAGTCACTTTGAATAGCGAAATGTCTTCCAAATAATATATATATAAGTTAAATCTGTCCAGTTGCTTTTGGGCTTAACAGACAACTAATAAGATAACTGTTGGCGCACAACCGAAGGATTTGCCATATGCTCACAGCAGTCTTGCGATCAAAACTGCAATACTTGGCAAATGACCAGTTTTTTTCCGAAGATCAGATCACGGTTCAGATAAAACAAAGCTGAACTGTGTATTATTTCGCCCAGACCTCAATTATCGATGATAATGATGATGATATGTCGTCGATCAGTCCTCGTTGATAACCAGCGAATTGAAGCCGTTGGCTTTATAATTACGAAACCGATGACACCTTGATTGTATCCGCAAACATGAAAAATACAAAGTCTGCGGTTAATTTCCGAAAAAAGATCAGAAACTAGCTTTTTCAACTGCAAACAAAGTCTTGAACGTCTGGGTTACGCGCGGTCTCAACAGGAATCACCCTGTGACGCAACCGCGCAAAGAGCGCCAGACTCTTTGCCTGATGCATATTGATGAGAAGAACGTAATGAATATGCATGAAAGTTCGTCAAAGATAACCCAAAACCTGCCAAAATATCCAACGTAACGTTTAATTCTATACATTGGTGGAATACCCGGTGCCCAAATTTTGAAAATGTCAACATATTATGCGTGGCTGGTGGCAGTTGCGTCCTTGTGTCCTTACGATGAACAACACAGGAAATTGAGAAGCTGTGGTGGTATAGGCGCCATGTTGGATCATTTGCGCTATACCTTTCCACGTAAAATCTCCACTAGGGGAGCCATAATGGCGCAGTTTCTTTTGCCCTGTGTATGGTGTATACGGACTTCCTTAATCCTGGTAGTCAGCTGACTTAGGTCGTGACAATTTTTCTCCTCGCTACACTGGTAGGATATTCCACGGATTGTTGTTCATTTCATGCTAATACAGTAAGACGCATCTTTTCTTTATATATACAATTATTTTTTATTTCTGTCAGACCAGTCTGTTTGGTCCTATCTCATTTTCTACTCTGGTGAAATCTGCTCATTTGCTGATCAGAGGCTTTGCTAGCAACCATCTGTCACCTGACATCCAATGGTTCCTTACGACAGTCTTCTAGATCTCGTAATTCAATAGTGCGTTTTGTACAGCAATCAAATCCATAACATTTTCCTTTGATACTCATCTGTTACAACAGGAGTGTATAGTATAGTGTTGATCTAAATGAATACCGGTCGGCAATAGTGGTTCTGTTAGTATTACTATTTTGCTATGTTGACATCTAGAAAGTCTTTAAATTTGTCAATGGTTATTGTCATATTTATCATACCAATAAGATTGAAACTCACATTTGACTTCAAGTATTGCTTTGAACTGGAGCAACTCAGTAGACCTTGTGGTTCTATTGGAATTGTGAAAAATGAAAATCAAAACACGTCTTGGCAACGTTGATTTTAGATTTGGCGTTTGTCTGAAAGATATTGATGCGTTTTGAATGATTCTCATTGTCTCACATTTCCACTTTCAGGTTTTCTAACACACAAGATGGATTTTACCAAACTGCCTAAAATCCGAGATGAGGAACGTGAGGATCAGTTTGGATTTGTGCATGGGGTTTCAGGCCCAGGTAAAAAAATAAAAACATGTTCTCAATGTTCATATATATTAAGTCCAAATGAATGAAGTTACTTTGTCACAAAATTCAACACACAGCACAAAGTTTATCTCTCAAGTAGTGTATTTTGACTTTGTGTCACAAATATAAGAATTGAAGATGTTAGTCATGTGATGGACAGGTTACAGTCTGTGTGTCTGTTCACTGCAGTGGTGACGGCCACTAGGATGGCAGGTGCGGCTATGTATGAACTAGTGCGTGTTGGCCACTGTGAGCTGGTGGGAGAGATTATCCGATTGGAGGGAGATATGGCAACCATCCAGGTGTACGAGGAGACCTGTATCCTTTACCATTCATCGGTGATTTACTTACTCTGTAACCCTTGAAAAAGTTTTTAATCAAGTTAATCCAAATTTAGTTTTAGAATTGTTAGAAAAAATGGGTATTTATATCTTATTTAAAGTTTTAGTAACTCAAGTATGGTTTTCTTCTTGAAAATTACTGAAAGAAACTGGCATGGCTTTTTTTTTTGTGGTTAATTTGCACCAACACAGATACTCTGAATCATGGAGAGTATGTTTTGTTATCAAAATAAAGTACCAAAAGATACTATAATATGGACAGAATTATTACCAAGATTCAATCATTTAAAGTACCTTGCAGTATTATGTAAATATGGTATTCATTCATTACTGTGGTATGTGGCAGATTACCATGGTATTAATCATGGTGCTGTCACTGTATGTTTTTGCATGTGTTTGTATTTGTCTATATGTTTTCCTGAGCTATCTACAGCTGGAGTTTCTGTCGGAGACCCCGTGCTCCGTACTGGAAAACCCCTCTCTGTTGAGCTGGGGCCTGGTATCATGGGCTCCATCTTTGACGGTATTCAGCGTCCCCTGAAAGACATCAATGACCTCACGAACAGCATCTACATCCCTAGAGGGGTTAACATTGGAGCTTTAAACAGGGACCTAAAGTGGGAATTTTCTCCTTTTCAAAACCTGAGGGTAAGGAACTATGTGTGTCTTTCTCTGTATAAAGGGCCGTCAGGCAAGTTGTTTTTCGAGGGGGCTCGAGTGACAGTTCTGCACTTTTTCCTAAGACTGTGAGTCGTGATAGTTTAGTGGTATATTTTTATAATATGGATGGGGGCTGGGTTCATTTTTATATTATTTGCAAATGAACTCGACTGCCAGTGATCACCCTGCATTTTCATTTATGGAAAACAGTGGAATTCACTTTTTGATGCCACTGTTTGTGTTTCATGGGAAAAATCCAACCCCATTATTTATAACAAAATTGTAAACTTTTTTGTTTTCACTGTAATAATTACTGCAATGTTTTCAGAACCATTTCTATTCTTTTTAATTATGAAATGTAGCAAGGAGATACATTATTAACACCTTTACTGTCGCTATTCCAGAATATTAAAAGGATAGTTCAACCGAAAATGAAAATTCTGTCATCATTTACTTACCTTCATGTCGTTTTAAACCAATAAGACTTTGGTTGAGAAAATGATGATAGCATTTTCATTTTTGGTGATCTATCCCAATATTATAAGTCTTCTGTAGCTTTTAGAAACAAAATAATTTAAACCATCAGCACCGGACACTGCAAGGCTAAACTGTACCTTATATCTGTGTTTGGAAGCACAGCACGCATCATTTTTGGCCATATAATACATATTTCATTAAATGTTTAAACTAACTGGTTGTGTTGATACATTCATATTTTGTCAAATTTTAACCACCCGCATGCAACAACTCCTTTGTCACATACAAGCTAAATGGCATATTTTGGCTTCAAAGCGGGAAAATTGACCAAACGGCAACAATTGTAACAACAAATATATATTATTTGTATATTACATTGAAATGATGTACTGCATGTTTATGTTAATTGGATTCTCTGACTGGTTTTTCAGGTTGGAAGTCACATTACAGGGGGTGATATCTATGGATTGGTGTATGAGAACTCTCTCATCAAGCACAAGATCATGCTGCCCCCCCGCAGCAGGGGAACAGTCACCTACCTCGCTCCGCCAGGAAATTATGATGTTTCTGTGAGTCACATTCACAATCATCCTCGCATGTCCTTAAATACTTCCACACATTTATAGACGTGCACGTGAGAGTCATCACGTCAACAGTTCACAAAGGCAACAGTTAGAAAAACTCCCGAAGATGTTTAGGTAAGATGAGGATGAAACCTAATCTCACTAAATGTGTGTGTGTCAGGATGTGGTGCTGGAACTGGAGTTTGAAGGAGTGAAGGAGAAGTTCACCATGGTGCAGGTGTGGCCTGTGCGACAGGTGAGGCCTGTTACTGAGAAGCTCCCTGCCAACCACCCCCTGCTGACTGGACAGAGAGTACTGGATGCCCTCTTTCCGTGAGTCTCAAAATCACACTCATTATCTTTCCACAACTGAGACTGTAACGTTTATATTGTACCTGACACTTACTTTAATATTTCTGCTAAGGCTGGACAGTTAATCATATTTTAATCATGATCACAATTTCTGCTTTTCTCAATTAATAAAGCAGAATCGTCTGCGATAGTGGCCCTCTGGTTATTTATCCTAAAAAAGTTATTTATCGTTTTTTTCCAATTGCCATTTCCTTTATCTTTCATTGGTAACAAGCCTCCACAAGCCTTCATGCTTGCAGAGTTTAAGTCCCCCAATCAGAGCGTTACATTTTAATTGATACATTTTCTGCCCAGTGTTTTACTTAATCTTCTCAACCTGGTGATCTGAAACCAGATAAACATATATGTTGGAGTTTGGCGATCACCACTGCCATTCTGCTCAGATGGATGTGTAATAAAGCCAGTCTGTTGCCGCTTGTGCTATTTGCTGCTACTAAATCTGTGAGCAAATCTTCTCAGCGATGACCTGTATAAATACATGATACATATAATAAATCAGGAAACTACATGAGGTAAATTAAACTGCGTATGAGTTGACACACTCTTGATTTGTTGTTTTGGGTCATTTTTTTTATGTAAGTCTCTTATGCACACCTCATTTATTTGATCAAAAATACAGTAAAAACGATAATTTTATTATATTTTTTTCAATGTAGAAAACAGTTGTGCAGCTTAATATTCTTGTGGAAACCATGATACATTTTTTTCAGGATGTATCTATTTAGAATAGAAAGTCCAAAAGAAAAGCATTTGGATCAATATCAATTTAATGCATCTTTGCTGAATAAAAAAATTCAAAAATTAACTTCTTACGGACCCACAACTTTTGAATGGTAGTGTACAGTACGTGAAAGTGGAATAATTCTGACGAAATGTACAAAGTAATTTCTTAAATGACACAGTCGTGATTATCAATTTAACCATTACGGCGCAGTCCTAATTTCTGCCGTTTTGCAGTTGTGTCCAAGGAGGAACCACAGCCATTCCAGGAGCCTTTGGCTGTGGTAAGACTGTCATCTCTCAGTCTCTCTCCAAGTACTCCAACAGTGATGTCATCGTCTACGTTGGTTGTGGCGAGCGTGGAAACGAGATGTCTGAAGTATTAAGAGACTTTCCAGAGGTTGGTATGGCTGAGTTTAATGACAGCATACTTGGTCACTTTGCTTAATACTACGTTTATGAATGCGATATGACATTCATACCTAGAATGGTTAATGTGACCCTGTTGTGTGGTTTAGATGATTTTGTGATTTTGTTCAATAGCTCACCATGGAGGTGGATGGTAAGGTGGAGAGCATTATGAAGAGAACAGCACTGGTGGCCAACACCTCAAACATGCCTGTGGCTGCCAGAGAAGCCTCCATCTACACTGGTAAACACAAGAGCCTTCTTTAGAAAGTAAAGTGTGCTGTACTGTGGAGTGCCTTGAAACAGGTTTTGATAAAGCACAATTATTGATCGTAAAATGAGATGTAAGAGAAGAGAAAGTATAGTTTGTGTGTGGAGGCATGTATCTTGATAGATAGTATGCTTGTGTGTCACCAGGTATCACATTGTCTGAGTAC